ACGTGATGGAATGAAATTATGTGGTTTCTGAAGTAATGATCAATTTTGTAGAAAATGTTGATATTTTGTTTGTTATTGTTCAGAAATCTGAAAGCTTTTCGTTCAAGTCTTCAACTATTTTGTTAGGCTTAAATGTATAGTCATAAAATGGTTTACTTTGTTCATGGCAAAGTTGACAAAATGAGTATAACCATTTTTATGGGTTAGTAGAAAAACTTTAGAAACCAAACAAAAACCGGGAGGAATAACTAATCTTATATATTAAAACAGAAGTCATGACTTGACTTCATGTGTGATTTTTTTAAAAATGGACTATTACTAGAAAGTTATGTTACATTAACTCTCTAATAATCTTATCATTATTATATCTTATGAAAAACCATATCTATAATAACAAAGATACGATTTGGATTTGGTAAATTATCTTACACCTTCCAACTTAGTCACGCAAAATATGTCAATAGATATAAGTTTAGGAATCTTCTATTATTTATAAGGAAATATGTCAATAATAGTTAAATGCATCCACAATATATTAACAAAAATCACAGATTAGTAATATGGAATATTTATATACCCTAACAAAATTTACACGCTATATATATTAGATAAATTTATTTCGATGTAAATTTTTAAAATTATATTGTTTTAAAAAAAAGAAATTGTTTAAAATTTCTTTTTAGTAAAATTCTTTATAATATTAATTTATGAAGCTATAAGTTTAGTCTTTAGCAAAAAGTGCTTCGAAATTTATATTATCTTTGAAAATTAAAATATACTAATATTTAATCAAGCTTTATTTATACTACTTTATCTAAAAAATGAAATACTAATCTAACAAAAAATAAAATATAGAAGAAGAAACAAATACATGTTTGAAAAACATGTATAATATAGAAAATTTGAAACAATCTATTTGATTAAAACACTTATTATATAATATTATTATGTTTGAAAAACATTTACTATACATATCGTAAATACATTATGTGATTACTATAATATATACCAATTTACAAGTGAAAAAAATATTTATATAAATAACTATAAACGAAAACAAACACCCGCGCGGTTTCGCGGGTCAAAATCTAGTAATAATGCTAAAATGAATATGATAACTAATGGCATCTCTAATGTATATTGCTATTTTTATTCTGAAATAGAGTATTTTTATTATAGAGATAGAGTTCGAATGTATATTTCTATAATATCATTACTAAATAAAAATAAATATTGTTATCTTTCAATTAAACATATAGAAAATTACAGTTTCTATTTTAGAAAATAAATAACAATAGATTATAGTGAAATTACCTCTAATTAAATATAAAAATTAAAATAGCAATGAATTGGATATACTCTAAACTAGATTTAGAGAAAGTTATAGTGAGAACAAAATTAAAGAAAGTATATTAAAGTGTGATTCTATAATAATGATGCTGCCCTTATTCGTTTGTAACTTCAATCGCACGTTAAAAGTACCACACTCGGAATGTTTTTGGTTACTGTTTCCTGCAAACTTAATAGATATTTAATTACTTTATATAAATCATAACTTGCAAAAATAAAATTTCAGACCATTTTGGTATTTTTGTTATTGTTGTTGGTGTATAAAACATTATAAGAATTTAGTATGTGCATCTGCGCAGATATTTATTTTTATTTTTTTATAATTAAATATTTGTGTTGTATAAATGGTACTATATAATTCTAAAAATAAATTTAAAATAAAGATGCTCTAATGGTACTATATTTTTGTTATGTAGTAGAGTAGAAAATGAGTTTATTTATAAATAAAATAATCTATTTTTTTCACTTTAATTTCATTCTAAAAATAGAATATCACTAGAGTAAATTATAACTCTGAAAATAAAGTAAATTACTAGAGATAGTCTGCTATTATGTGAGGTGGAGGTTCAACTGCAGATGTCTTTCGACGTGGGATCATAAAATGATATGTTATCTTATGTAGGGCAACATAACATTTGAGTTACTAATATGACAAAACAAAATTGAAAATGCGACAAAAGAAAAAACAACTTGGAGTGAGTATTGAGTGAGATTGGCATGCATTAACTAATTATTACACAACCAAAATACTACTCCACGTATCATTTAACTGTTGGCTTATCAACAATTATTTGATCTTATATTTTGTTATACTATAATATGGAGGGTGAGCTTACTTCATGTTTGCTTGTTCATAAATCAAGAAATGAATCGTATTCATTAATTACTATCTAGGAACATACAAATGGCAAATCTCATATACCACATTTACTTGTGGATCTCGTTGTTTGGGGAAATTGTACCATTTAATATCTATCACAAATTTTACTGCAAGATCTAAAGTAGGTCAGTAGGTGTATTAACTACTTAGCAATGATTTGTTTTTCTTCTGAATCGAGGAAGGCCTACAAAATTAAACCATGTGTTGGGTGAAATTCTGTAATGTTGTTTCTGAAATTTATAGTTTGGAAATTTCGTTTGTAAAAATACACATGGCGGCTTCAACAAATTATCCTGATCAATTAAAAGTTGAGTTTAAAATTAAAGAACCAAATAATTAATCCAAACTGAAAACGAATTAGGCGACACCAAATCAACCTAGGAAAACATAAATATTTAAATCGATCCTACTAATTAAAAGACAAATACATTTTAAAAATATCTTATATTTAGATTAGAATAAATTACTCAGATAACAATTACAAACACATTATATTAGTTATGTTTAGGACATATCTAATCTCATTCTATTTTTCATTTGAAAACAGAATTTAGAATAAAAATATTCTAATGATATTTTATTTTAAATTTTATAATAATGTACAAAATAGCTTATTCCATATATATAGAGTAATTTGTTACTCTTTTGTTCGTGACTCTATTTTTTATTTTAAAATAGAATATTACTAGAGAATTTTATATAAAATTATTTATTTTAAGGGGAAAATAGAGTAAACAAATAGAGGTAGACGAGAATAATTAAAACTGATCTAAATAATTGTTTATCGATTTGTTTTCGCTATTAACATGTACACGTATGACCTATGTGACTAAAATATATTTTTGACAGTATAATAAATTGAAGTTAAAATTATTTAACTTCATATTATATATATATATTTCTTTTCCACACAAAAATCAAGAGTCTTATTGCATTAATTTACGTAAACCCTTGTATAAGTGTATAACCAATACACGTTGGTAGAACCTAGTTATAGGAGTCTAGCCATAAAACATATGTAGCCTAAATAAATAGTAAACTGTAAATGCAAGAACCAAAGTGCAAACACAAATTGCTATCTAACGAGGTTCATCAACATGTCTATTTTCAGACTTTATTGAAAACATTTTTTGGATAGAAGTGCAATTAGTGCATAATAGAGAGTATTACACAAGGATAGTTTACAGAAACCAACTTTTTTTACAGCATTTCTAACCCAAAACCTTATTTTAAAAGAAGTAAAACCTCAAAATGAAAATTTGAAAGTTGATTATTCCAATCATGAATCCTCAAAAAAAAAAAATTAAAAAAATTTATTCATTTACATTAACAAAAGTTACTAATAATGATAAAATTCATAAATACATATAAAATATATTTTTAATATATTATACAACACATGATATTACATTCTTATATAATAAAATAATAGAAATTACTTATATAATAAAATAACACACATACACACAAATTTTAGAAAATTACATATAAAATACCAAATTTTTATTAAAATGCCAAATTTCTATTAATACCCAATTACATAAAATTAAATATAAAATACCAAATTTTAGAAAACAACAACATACACACAAATGTAAGCTTTATTTAATATATTTTTTTTTAAAAATTTCTTGTGAGATTTAAGGTTACGTAATATTTATTCTATTTTATCTTATTTTGGTATACTTAAATTAGTCTAAATAAAGTTAGTATATGTATTTGAGAAAAAAATAACTATAAAAGCTAAAAAAATGATAGTAGTTTTAAAATTTATAATAGAGAAGCCTCAAATTTGAAGTGTGACTATTCAAAATCTCAAACTTTAAAAATTTGAGATTAGGTTGGAATAATAAAAATTTAAGAATTTAAAATTGCATTAGAGATGCTTTTAATTCGTTCCCAACACTCTCGAGGGTCTTTAAAACACGCACTACCAACGCCATCACCCAACCTTTTTCTCTAATATTCCAAAGTTGTTTTAACCAAAATTAATTATTATTTAAATTAAAAGATATATAACTAGTTATTTTTATTGAGTAGTATTAATTTATAAAGTTTATGTACTAAGAGTATCTCTAGAAGAAGTTGCCAAAAAAAAAAGCATTTCTATAAGACATTCAGTAACTTCAAATAAGAAATATTTGACTATTCAAAAAGAAATTCTAAAACTTTAGATTTGAAATTTTGAGTAGTGAAACTTCAAAGATAGAGTATCACTATTCAAAGTTTAAAATTTTAAGTTCCATATTTTCATTTACATTTTGGTTCTTACAATTATAAATAATATATATGATTTTTAAATATTTTTTTGTTTATCGTTTTAATCCAGAAAATTACTCAAAATTATTATTTTTTTTTGATCAACCAAAATTATTTTTATAAAATTTTAAATTTACTCATTCTTTTAAAAAAACCATCATGATAATATTTAAATATTTAAAACTAGAACTAATCAACAACAAAATAACAAGACTTAATGTGATATTTGTTTGTAGTTTAATTATTTTTATTTGTAATTTTATGTTTTAGTGTAATAGTTTATCAGTTAATATTGTTGTAATAGTTTTATATATGTGCTAGTTATTTATAAAAGTTGTATGAATTTGAATTAGTTATGAAAAATATAAGAATCATAATATAAAATATAAATAGTTTTGAAATTAAGTTTAAATTTTGTTTTTGGATATAACATTTTTAAATTTCAAATATATAATTTTACAAACTTTAAAATAGAAAATATTTTTGGAGATGCTCTAATAAAAGTGAGAGAAGAATTTAGAAAATAGTAAAGTACAGTACAAATGATGAATGTTCCTATCAGACTAATAGATATCATTATTTACAACATTCTCTTAGTAAATCTTAAAACTAGACACAAGATACAAATATTTGTATATAACGATACTAGAAACAATAAACAAAGTCAGCGGGTCAAAGCTTTCCAGGCTTCTTATTATTACCACTTCCTTCAACACTCTAATCTCTCACAGAACAAGAAACGATGCATCTCCTCTTTCTCTTCCTGATTCTTCTCCCCACCGTTGTTCTCTCCCTAAACCAAGAAGGCTTCATCCTCCAACAAGTCAAACACTCTCTCGACGACCCACTCTCCTCCCTCGCCTCCTGGAACCCCCAAGACGACTCCCCTTGCCGCTGGTCCGGCGTCTATTGCGGCGGAGACTTCACTTCCGTCACTTCCATCGACCTCTCCGGCGCAAACCTCTCCGGACCTTTCCCTTCCATCATCTGCCACCTCTCAAAACTTTCAGACCTCTCCCTTTACGACAACAACATCAACTCCACTCTCCCTCTCGACATCGGAGCTTGCAAGAGTCTCCAAACCCTAGACCTCTCCCAGAACCTCCTCACCGGCGACCTCCCCCACACCCTCGCCGACCTTCCCTTCCTGACCTCCCTCGACTTAACCGGAAACAACTTCTCCGGCGACATTCCGGCGAGTTTCGGCCGGTTTCAAAACCTGGAGGTCCTCTCTTTAGTCTACAATCTCCTCGACGGAACCCTCCCTCCCTTCCTCGGCAACATCACAACCCTCAAGACTCTCAACTTATCCTACAACCCGTTTACTCCGGGTCGGATCCCCCCGGAGCTAGGTAACCTGACGAGCCTCGAGGTCCTGTGGCTCACGGAGTGTAATTTGCTCGGGGAGATACCTGACTCGCTGGGTCGACTCACCGAACTCGTTGACTTGGACCTCGCGCTCAACGACCTCGTGGGTCCCATCCCTCGGTCTCTAGGCGGGTTGAGGAGCGTTGTGCAGATCGAGCTGTATAACAACTCGTTGACGGGGGAGATCCCCAGGGAGCTCGGGGAGTTGAAGAAGCTGAGACTCTTTGACGCGTCGATGAATCGGTTAACCGGGTTTATACCGGAGGAGCTTTGTAGTGTTGCGTTGGAGAGTTTGAATCTTTACGAGAATAACCTCGAAGGTGAGGTTCCGGGGAGTATAGCTTTGTCTCCCAACTTGTATGAGCTCAGGATCTTCGGGAACAGACTCACTGGAGAGTTACCGAAGGAACTTGGACGTAACTCTCCGTTGAAGTGGTTAGATGTTTCTGAAAATGAATTATCCGGCGAGTTACCGCCGGATTTGTGCGGGAAAGGGGAGTTGGAGGAGCTGCTGGTTATTCACAACTCTTTCTCAGGCGATTTACCGGAGAGTCTTGGAGATTGTCGTAGCTTGACACGTGTCCGGTTAGCGTATAACCGGTTTTCCGGTCGAGTTCCGGGAGGTTTCTGGGGGTTGCCTCATGTTTACTTGCTTGAGCTTAGCAACAATGAGTTCTCTGGTGAGATTGCGAAGAGTATTGGAGGCGCGTTGAATCTCTCGCAGTTGATACTTACCAACAATGAATTCACAGGATCTTTGCCGGAGGAGATTGGGTCTTTGGACAACCTTAATCAGTTGTCGGCGAGTGGAAACAAGTTCAGTGGCTCGTTGCCTGATAGCTTGATGAATCTCGGTGAGTTAGGTACTCTTGATCTTCACGGTAACCGGTTTATAGGGGAGTTGTCTCCTAAAATCAAGTCTTGGAAGAAGCTAAACGAGTTGAACTTAGCCGGTAACGGGTTTTCGGGTCCAATCCCTGTTGAGATCGGGAGTTTGTCAGTCTTGAACTATCTTGATCTTTCTGGTAACCTTTTCTCCGGCAATATCCCGGTTTCATTGCAGAATTTGAAGCTAAACCAGCTGAACCTGTCGAATAACCGGTTAACCGGTGACCTACCACCTTCTTTAGCCAAGGAGATGTACAAGAACAGCTTCCTTGGGAACCCGGGACTGTGCGGGGACATAAAGGGTCTCTGTGGCTCTGAGGATGAAGATAAGAACAAAGGCTATGTATGGCTTCTCAGATCGATTTTCGTACTTGCGGTAATGGTGTTTGTTGCGGGACTTGCTTGGTTCTACTTCAAGTACAAGACTTTCAAGAAAGCAAGAGCTGTGGAGAGATCAAAGTGGACGCTTATGTCATTCCACAAACTCGGATTCAGTGAGCACGAGATTCTCGAAAGCTTGGATGAAGACAATGTGATTGGCGCTGGAGCTTCGGGTAAAGTCTACAAGGTTGTACTCACCAATGGAGAAACCGTTGCGGTTAAACGTTTATGGACAGGATCTGTTAAAGAAACAGAGGACACTGATCCAGAGAAAGGCGAGAGACCACGTGGAGTCAAGGACGAGGCCTTTGAGGCTGAAGTAGAGACATTGGGTAAGATTAGGCATAAGAACATTGTGAAGCTATGGTGTTGCTGCACCACAAGAGACTGCAAGCTACTGGTTTATGAGTACATGCCTAATGGTAGCTTGGGAGATTTGATTCATAGCAGCAAAGGAGGAACGTTGGGATGGCAAACTAGGTTTAAGATCATCTTAGATGCGGCTGAGGGGCTTTCCTATCTGCACCATGATTGTGTACCTCCGATTGTGCATAGAGATGTTAAGTCCAACAACATTTTGATCGATGGAGAATATGGTGCAAGAATTGCTGATTTTGGAGTGGCTAAAGTGGTGGACTTGACCGGAAAAGCTCCCAAGTCCATGTCAGTGATTGCTGGCTCGTGTGGTTATATTGCACCAGGTTAGTCTTATGATTCAACTTTTAATGTGGTTGATTAATAATAGTATGATAAGATTTAGTTTAGTACATGTTGCATGGACGGACATTCACATGAACTACATACATTTAAGACATTGGTTGAGAGACTTAAATGTGCATTCACTGTCCGTTGAGACATGTCTCAATCATTGGCTCCACAACGTTCACACTTGTTTATTAATGGATTTGTAAGATTTAATTTTGTTTGTTTCAACCTACTTGCAGAATACGCATACACGCTCCGTGTGAACGAGAAGAGTGACATTTACAGTTTCGGGGTAGTGATTCTTGAGATAGTGACTAGAAAACGCCCGGTTGCTCCGGAACTGGGGGAGAAAGATTTGGTGAAATGGGTCTGCTCGACATTGGACCAGAAAGGCGTGGACCATGTGATAGACCCGAAACTTGACTCTTGTTTCAAAGAAGAGATAAGCAAAATCCTCAACGTTGGGCTTCTCTGCACGAGTCCTTTGCCCATAAACCGACCTTCGATGAGACGTGTGGTTAAGATGTTGCAAGAAATAGGCGGTGGAGACGATGAGAGCCATAACAAGACTAAGGATGGAAAGTTAACACCTTACTACAACGAAGAAGCCTCAGAGCATGGAAGTGTAGCTTGAGACAGACACAACAAGTCTACTTTGTTTTATTCCCCAAAAGCTCTCAATTTTTGGTGCTTGAAGCTGTGGATGAGGGCATTTAATCAAGATTCTCGTAAGGGTTTTGGCGTAAAAGAGGGTATCAGTGAATGTTAAGTTTTATCAGATAGCTATTTTATAATGTTCCTAGATCAGGAATTGGTGTTTCAGCTTCCACTGTAAAGCTATTAGTAGTAAGTCTGTTTTGTAAGAGTTTCTTTTTTTTATTGCGTAAATGCAAAGAAAATGCCAGCTTCTGGGTTTTTTTTCTTTTTCTGATCAAGCCAGCTTTGGGTGTTAACATGCATTAAAAATAGTTTCCATATTTGGGTAAACAGCGTCTAGGTTCTTGAAAGAACATGTCTGATGTATCCATCTTTAAAGCGTGGGCTCTCTCATTTTTAGTGAACTGTTGGAGGCTCGTGTGTGTTTCACAGTAAGTGACATTGTGACTGTAGATTCACATGGCTCTTAAATTCTCCAACTTTTTTTAAAATTCATGTTCTGTTATTTATATTTCCTTTACTTTACGTACATAGGTATCAGGGGTAATAAGATTGGGTTTATGAAATGACTATAAATATGAACATTCCTGTGAAAAGCTCACTTATTGGGATACTTGTTCAAGTCTGATTGTTCTTTTCCGTAGCTAGTCAAATATCACATACTTTAATACTCAGTTACAAAAACACAAACTTCTTTTTTTTATTGTGTGCACAAACACAAACTACATAATAAAATACAAACAACGTAGAGTTTACTTCTATCTTTTTTTTTCAAAATTAAATATAAATCATAGCAAACACTTTGACCATAAACACAAATATTATGTTCGAGTATGTAAGTGTGATTACTATATTGAGAAACTGCCTAGTATAATCCTAAGATTTTTTTGTCACAAATATAGATTTTAAAAATAAAAATGATTATAATAGATTTAAATGTTTTATAAAAAAAGTAAATATACATTTATACCCTTTGAGTTAACTAATTATAAATATTTTTGTTTAGAGTTAAGAAGTGAGGTTTTGGAGATAAAATTTCAATTTAAAAAAAAAAAAGAAAAAATTTAAAATAAAAAATGTTATTTTGATCATTTTAATTTTTGAGGCCTAGTTTTTGTGATAAAATTTTTTAAAAAAATCTATTTGAGAGAATTGCCCTACTATATTTCCATACACAATATGTAGTTTAGACTCTTAAAAAGTAGTTAAGTCATCTAAATCAAAAGAAGGTCGTTAGGGAACGTTTAACTTCCTAACTGCAATGAGTATACTCTGAATGATGACTTTCGAGTTAAAAGATAACTTCTATTGTCGAGTACAAAACAAAAGATGAACATTGACATCTTACCATTACATGTGCATTATCTAAGTGGAGAATTTACCTACACAGATGTAATTTAAGATTACTTAAATAGTTAAGTAAAGAATCTAAAAATGAGCTGTTGTTGGGTGAGGAAATTAGAAGTGGGACTAATAGGCATTGAAGCCCTCATTGGTATCATTCAATAAGGGACATTGACACCTCACCTTCATCTTTGCTTTGTCTCTCTGTCTCTTTCACTCACTTCCCTTTCTGAATCATTTCTCTTATTTGTTTTCATTTTCTTTTTGTTATTTATCAACATGTTGCATGATGAAGTTCAATACATAATCCACATACTTTGTTTTTTATTCTACAACAAATATCAATCTTCCATTTTATCTTTGTAGAATTCTTATTTTAATATACATTGCAACTTGCAACTTATTATAACCAAGCTAGGCAAATTCTCTCATTCTGATAATTTTGGTATTGTTTATGGAGAGTTTAAATAATTTATAAGAAACGATTTTTGTAAGAAAATGGAAAGCACTTATCAAAAATAAAAGAAAAGCATAGTAAGGACCAGTGCTCAAAAGATAAGGTAGGATTGCGAAATGATCACAGACATATGAGTTATTGAGTATGATGGCCCACAGGCATACGGTACACACACACACCTTCAGAGTTGAGACATCTGAGTTATTGAGTGTAATGACCCACAAGCATATAGTACACACTCACACCTTGAGCCATTCGGCTTTTGAATGGGCCTATTGGACCCACATAGTTGTTTTAGATGAATTTGGGTCTCTTTGAAAACATGATGAAGCAAGATAATTTATTCTCTATCTTTCTTACATATACATCTTTTAATTATATTGTATTCTTTATATTCCTAGTATACGTTTGTTCTATGTTCAAACATGTAATTTGGCAATGCAGTCTCACCGTTGGACCACTACAAAAAAACACAACAAATTCCGACCGACATTTCCGATGACGTTAACTATAGTGCTGTTCGTTTCGTTGACGCAGCTTCCTGCGTCTGCGTCAATGTTTTAATGAAATCTTGTTCGTTTCGTTTACGTAGATTGTTGCGTCTGCATCAAAACGCAGCGTCTAGCGTTTATAAATTTCGGACGCCGCTTTAAATCAGCGTCTGGACGCAGACTCTACATCTATAAATGTAAATTACCATTTTACCCTTAAAATTTTTGAGCATTTACTTCATATACCTAAACCTAATTGACGCATACTCTCTTGTTGACGCAGACTCTCCTCGCTCTCATCTTCCATCTCCATCTCCTTCCAGCCTCGATCTTCTCCATCTTCGAGAAACCTCGATCTCATCTCCATCTTCGCCAACCTCGAGCTCATCTCCATTTCCGATGAAGCCTCGAGCTTCTCCCGACGCACGCAGCCACGAGCTCGAGCTCTCTCTCTCTCTCTCTCCGTCGCATCTCACTCTTCTCTCAAGCTCTCCCAAGCTTCTCACTCCATCTCGAGCTCTCTCTCTTCTCTGATGCAAACCCATCTCGAGCTCTCTCTCTTTGAGGTAACACTCTATTGTTCTCTCTCTCTTTGTTCTCTATCTTTTAGCTCTGTTCTATTGTTCATTGTGATGGTCTTTGTTTGATACTGATTGTGATGGTCTTTGTGATAGCAAAGAGAATCTACCTCAGCTCGAGCTCTCTCATCTCCGACACAAACCTCGAGCTCTCATCTCTCATCTCCGGCTCGTGCTCTCATCTCTCATCTCCTCCGAGGTAACTAAGACAAGAAGAATGGGTTTTTTGAGTTTCATGAGTTTTTGAGAATGGGTTTGTTCTGATGGTGAAAGAGAATGGGTTTGTTCTGAAGTTTAAGGTTCTAAGCTTCTGTTTTGTTCTAGCTGAAACGCAGCTACAAACGTTTTTAATACAAAATTTTATTTATTCAAGGTTTTTTAGTGGTTGTATGAATCCACTTACGGTTCTATTTTTCTTACGTTTGTGTGTTTGTTTGTTTCAGGATCTGTGAAAGATATAACTCTTTACCTTGCAGCTTGTTGTTGCATCTTGAAGCTCTCTTCTCCAAACCCATCTCTTCTTTTTCTAGTTAAGGTATTGGCTTTGAAACTGTCCTTGCTTCTTGTTTCTTAGGTTTGTCTGCTTTTCGTATTGAGGCTTTGGCTTTGTTTTGTGTTTTGATATGCTTAATGTTTTGAACTGTGGTTGTGGATGTTAGGACTGAAGCTTCTGGCTCGTGTTAAGCCGTCTGAGATTTTCTTGAAGTCTATATCTAAGGAGGTCACTTCCATCCAAGTCTCTTATCCTCCTAGGTTCTATTCTCTCCCTCTCCTTCTTGAGTATGCTCTGGTGAATTTGGATTATTGTTTACGGTTTTTAACTAATCTATGTCAAATGTTTCAGTTTAGATCCTAGACTTGCACGAGAAACGTTGTTCGTTTGGTTGTGTTGTTAACATCAATGGTTACAGTGTCATGATATGAGTTGGTCTTCCTTTGTTTTGTTTGGATTTATTTAATGTTGAATTTCGTATTTGTCTCAAAGAAAGCGAAGTCAAATAATGGAACCTAGCTAGTGCCAGTTGCACAAGTACTGTTAAAATCTTTGGAGATTTTGCATACATCCGGATGAATGGAAAAGAGAAAGAGCCGTGCAATTACAAAAATCAATTTCAATTTGAATAATTTTGTCTTTAGTATTTTATTGCATTGTAGGCCATACTATTAGTAAAGGTAATCGCTCTTATCATGATGATAGAGACTTCTATGATTATCTAAAACTGTCTGGAAAAGTTTGTTTATTCCTATCATGTCTCATTTTAAAACATTGACTTAACTCTTGTAGTCTCCTGTGAAATATTAATGTTATGTCAACATAAGACATTAGTAAGAAGTGCAAGTAAAAGTTTTATATCTTCTTTTAAGATGTTCATTTTTCTGGTAGTAAATATGTCTCCATCTTTCTGCATTAAATACTCATGAGCTCTCTACACTTCTTGTGTGGTGAGTGTTTGGTATATTATGGTCGTGTATAACGAAAATTGTTTTTTATGGTATATTATGGTCGTGTATATACACACATGCATATGATTTATAACGAAAATTGTTTTTTTTTCGTGTTTTGACCAATTTAATGTGGAATACTCATTGTTTATTTTTTCTGTTTTTTTTTGCAGGTCTCAGGCTCAGAACCTCAACCCCTCTCCAAGCTCACTCTCTCGATGGCAATAGATGTAAGCTCAGACCCTTTCCTGTTTGCATTTGTGTATAGAAATGTCTGAATGTATATGGAACTTGAGTTTATGTGTATAGAACTGTGTTTAGGTTGTATGGAACTTGAGTTTATAAATGGAACTTGCTGTATGTGTTTTGCCTTAGACTTGGAAACCTGAGGAAACTAGGTATTTTTCGAACTCTATGCGGAAGAGAGAAGAAAAGGAAATAAGGTTGGTACATCAATGAATAAAGTGGGGAAAAGGAACATCATGAAGGCGTTTGAACAGCGGTTTCAGAAGAATTTTTCTGATTGGAAGTCCTACAAGATCAAGTACGACACCAGTAGAAAGAAGTTCATCAAGATTAAGATGCTGACTCAAAACAGGACAGGGCTTGGGTATGATGACATGGGAAGGATTGACATGTCTGAGGATTGGTGGCATGAACGCGAAAGGGTCAGTTTTACATTATTCTCTTTTCTTTGATTTGATCTCTCTTTTGTCTGATTATCAGTTCTCTACTCGTAGATCTTGCTGCTGCATGTTTTTTTTTGGGAGGATCAATCTAGCTGGTATGTATTTCACTAACTTATTCTTTCTTTTTTTGCTATATAGGAGTGTCCTGGGATTAGAAGATCTGTATGCAAAGAGATTAGTAACATGAACATGTTTCAAGCTGAATTTGGTGGTGTAGTAGTAACTGGAGCTGAAGGATGGAGCGCTCAACATGCAGAAACAAGTTTGAATTCAAGAGTTGGTGGGGATGATGGTGATGATGAAGCTGATTCTCAGCCAGCAGCAGAGACTCAAGCATTGGAGACAGAAACACAGCCACAAGCCCAGCACCAAACTCAGCCACAAGCTCAGCGCCAAACTCAGCCAGCGACTCAGACTCATTCTGGAAGTTCAAGAGCAAAAAGAAGGCATAAAGAGAAAGATCTGCTTGTAGAGGCTAGTGACAAACGGACTGCAGCTCTTGAGGTGAAGAATATGCTAGCAAATCAACTCTTGGAGCGTGAACAACCATTATATGAAGCATCAATTGAGTCTGTGTTGGAGATATTGTATGCACTGCCTGGAGTGACAGAGTGGTCTTCATTATATGAAGCATCAATTGAGCTTCTCATAGACAGTGAAGGGAGCAAAAGAGGTTTTATAACAATGAAGACATATGAAGCAAAGACTAAGTTTTTAAGGCTTAGGACCAAGATAAAACGTGATGCTTGAGTAGTTTAGTTCTGCTAGAACCTTTTGTGATCTTGCTGGAACTATTTTGTGATCTTGCCGGATGATCTTGTTAGTTAGTTAGTTTTTGGATAAAAGTCTTTCTTTATGTATGGATGACTTTGCTGTATTAATTAATTTGTTTTGTGTCTCTTTGTTTCTGGTATCTTAATGACTTTGTTGTATTAAGGAATTTGTTTTGTGTCTCTTTGTTTCTCGTATCTTAATGACTTTGCTGTCTTAATGATTTTGATGTGTCTCAGTTGTGTACTGTACAACTGTGTACTGTTTATTGTATATTGTTTTTAATTTGATTACTAATGATGTTTTATTCAATGGTTTTGCAGATGCTTAAAAGATGGATATTGGAAGATGAGGATGATGATTATGAAGACGAACTTGGTTTGTTTGATGTGGCTACTATTGAGAGATTGAGTCACATAACAGATCAAGGAGCGGGATGGTGTCATGTTCAACAACTTATGTATGAATCTAATCGGCAATGTTATGATATTCTTCGAATGAATCAAAGAACTTTTGAAGCTTTGTGCAAGATGCTAGCTCAGCAATATGGATTGAAAGAATCTCACCATGTCTACCTTGAGGAATCTGTTGCAATGTTTCTCAAGACTGTTAGTCAAGATAAGACTAAGAGGGTTATTGCTGCAAGGTATCAAAGATCTTTGGATACAGTACAAAGGAAGCTTGATGAGGTCTTGAGTGATATTCTCAAGTTTGCAGCAGATACATTAAGACCACAGGAAGGCGAGTTTGGAAAAGTAAGTCTTGTTTTGAGGAATGATGATCGGTATTGGCCTCATTTCAGAGATTGTATCGGAGCACTTGATGGAACCCATGTCCCGATTCTCCCTCCAAGTCAAAATGCAGAAGCATACAGAGGCAGGAAGCAAGAACCTACAATGAATGTTCTTGCTATATGTAACTTCGATATGAAGTTCATATATGCATATGTCGGTGTACCTGGTAGAGCACATGATACAAAGGTCTTGACTCATTGCGCGAGGAACGAGGCTTTTTTCCACATCCTCATCCTGGAAAGTATTATTTAGTTGACTCTGGATATCCGACAAAGACAGGGTATCTTGGTCCGCATCGTGATATGCGATATCATCTTGGTCAATTTGTTACAGGAGGACCACCAGTTAGTGCACGAGAGCTGTTTAACCGAAAGCATTCAGGTCTGCGATCAGTGATTGAGAGGACATTTGGAGTATGGAAAGCAAAATGGAGGATTTTGGATCCTAAGCATCCAAAGTATGGCCTGGTCAAGTGGATTAAGTTGGTGACAGCGACGATGGCGCTACACAACTTCATACGTGATTCACATCGGGAAGATCATGATTTTGTACATTGGCAAAGTGGTGATGATGGAGAAGGAGGAGAAGAAGCTGATGGTGATGAAGAAGAAGGTGATGATGATGATGATGATGATGATGATGATGATGATGATGATGATGATGATGATGATGATGATGATAATGATGATGATGATGGTGGTGGTGGTGGTAGTGGTGGCCATATTATATATGAGCCTAAAGGTGATAGAGCGATGGAAGCTTTGCGTGATAACATCACAAATGAATATGGTAGAGGCCGTTTACCATATTAAATGTTTTAGTTAATGATTTAGTTTTTTTTTGCTTATAACTTTGATTATCATTTAAATTTGATATTTATTTAAGACTTGATGTATTTTTTTTATCAACCAACTTGATAATAGCTTTTGTTTCTGATAAATATTTTGAAGTATTATTTTTTCTAATTTAGCTTATGATTTATGAAAAAATATTGTAACATTTGTATAATTGACCAAAAATTCATTACTAAGTAAACATAATATTTTAATGGATGTAAATATATTTGAACTATATTTTATTTGTTTAAATACAATTTTACAATTTTTTAACATAAAATATGAAAAAATGAAAATAGACACAACGTCTATCAAATGCACAATCCAACAATCTACATATCAGCGTCGGCGTCGGCGTTAGCGCCAAGCGTCGGCGTCAGCGTTAGCGCCAACCTTCGGCGTTTTTTAAACGAACAACAATCTGCGTCAGCGTCAGCGTCTGCAAAACGAACAACAACTGTTCTCATTGACGTTGATGCCGACGCTGACGCTGCCGCTGACGCTGAAACCCGCGGCAACCAAACGAACATGACCTATGTCAGTTTTTTTTTACCAAATTCTAACAGGTAATTAACGACTATTATATTTTGAGTTTCTCCGACGACTAAAAGTAGACAAAAATTTTTGATAAAAATCCAACAGAAACCCGATGAAATTATATATTTGTTAAGTCAACACTAAAATTTGTAATATTTTGTTTTTCGTCAAAACTTTCTGACAAAATTTTCTGACAAAAACTCTTACGGAAATAGCGACAGAATTTCAACGATTAGTTTTGACTGTTTGTATTTCTGATGGAATTCCAACAAATTTTTTTGACCATTTAAATATCCGATGAACTTTAAAATATTTGTTGGAATTCGGTCAGAAATCCGTCGGAGTGTCAACATCAACTTTTGCCTACAAATACGAGCTTCCCACACCACATTCCTCTCATTCATTCTTTATTATCTCTTCACTCTCTACAAATCCTGAAAAAACAATTATGTCTTATGGAAATCGTTATCGATCATGGATGGATAAACATCATTTGGATCCAAATATCAATTTGCTTACGTAAGAATACATGGAAAGTATTGGTGAATTCATGAAACTTGTTCAACATCAACCGGAAGCAAATACCAGTATGTTAATATGTCCATGCTCTTTCTGCAATAATAATAAAATTATAAAGGAATGAGATGTTTGGACTCATTTATATATGAGAGAGTTTACACAGAGTTATAAGGTTTGGTATCTTCATGGGGAAGCTGGTTATGAATATGGTAGTACTAGTGAACCTTAGCCAGTGGTTAGGTTAGAAGAACCAAGAACGGATGTAGATTATGGTGTAGGTACTGAGCAGATAGTAAATGGTCATTATAGAGGGGAAGAACCCAATGCAAAATCTAGGGAATTTTTTGACATGTTGGATGCAAAAAAAAATTTATATAAGAATTGTAGAGATGGTCATTTATCATAATCATCTGCAACTAGATTGATGGATATTAAAATAGATTATAGTAACTGAATGATATAATAGCTGAATCAGAAAATTCACTTCACTTCAACCTTTTTATGTGCCATGATATATGATCTGTAGGGCTAGATTTGGACTAACCTCAATGAAACATTGATTTTGGCTTCCAATTTTTTTAAAAGGATTTTTACATAATTAAAAAGAAACTCTTTTTTAATAAATTTTTTTGAAAAATGTTTAATATCTTCTAATTCTCAGATCCAGCTCTAGTGTGGCCCTCAAGACATGACATTATTGGAGAGTGACTGATTTTATACAGAAAAGTTTGGCATAACCATCTTAAAAAGAGAAATCTATCCGACACATGAGTCTTGTATAGTATTAGAGATCCGGACCAAGTATAAAGCTATTTAGCTCAATAACCATGGAAAAAAACTAGTTAGGTATCTGGACATGTATGTTTTCTGTAAAGAAATAAAAGTTGATATTCTCTTTATTATCCCTACACTGAAAAGGCTATCCTAAAAAACTTTCAAATCAAAACACTTAACTTTGTAGCACTAAAAAACCATGAACATCATTGCTGGCTCCTACGAGAGATTCATCTGGGGCTTCAAGCTCAAATCACAAAACACGACTATGAAACCCAAACCCAACCCTCACCCCTCTCTTCTCCTATCTTTCCCACATCTCCTCCATCACCACCGTCGCTTGCTCCGCTGCCGCTTCCAGTGGCTCCGACGACACAATCCACCTCTACAACCTCCCATTCATGTCTTCCCTCGGCTCCCTCCTCGACCACAACCACACCGCCTCAATCACCGCCCTCTCCTTCTACACCCCCTCCTCACTCTCCTTCCCTCGCAACCTCATCTCTGCTGCCGCTGACGGTTCTGCCGCCATCTTCGACACCAACCCTTTTGTCCTCCTCATGTCTTTTTGTCCTCACAATAAGCCGTGAACGATCGCACGATTCATCCGTCGGGGAACCTAGTTTTGGTTGTGTACCGTGACAAGTGCTTTACGATTGAAAACCACTAATCTTATTGATTTGAGAGAGATTCAGATTATGAAAGTATAAAGGCCCAGAGATGTCCTCAAGCCCAGTTGGTATTGGCCCAAGAGACTAAAGCCACTAACGGCTCTCAGCATTCAAGCTGCAACACGACAAAGAAAGTGAGACAGAGGAGAGAGGGAGGCTGTGCAAAGGAGGAGAGACAGATCGTACTAAAGAATCAGTTTGATGCCTTGTTATCAGTAGTGAATGGCTAGATGTTTGACAAGTGTAATCAGATCCCTTAGTGAGCAACTAGGGTTTTCCTTATGCCTCTTAGTATATAAAGAGTGCAAGACATTGTAATCTTTCTTAAGCTAAAAGTAAAGTATTTTCAGTAAAGTTTGAGCCTTTCTTATTTCTTCATATGGTATCAGAGCTCTAAAACCTTAACAGGTGCTGTCATGGCAGAAGCGAATGATCCATACCCGTTTCCAACAGGTGTTCATATCACCCATTCCGTCACAATCAAGTTGAATGACACAAACTACTTACTATGGAAGACACAAATGGAGTCTCTCCTTCGTTCTCAGAAGCTTCTTGGCTTTCCTACGGGTCAAGTTCCGACTCCAGAAGCTACTGTAGTCAACACGGTTGACAATGTTCCTGTTGAAGCTCCGAATCCAAACCATGAAGCTTGGATCTGTACTGACGAGCTTGTTAAATCTTGGATCTTTGGAACCTTGTCTGAAGAGGTCCTTGGTCTTGTTCATGCTCTTCCTACGTCGTACGAGGTGTGGCAAGCTCTTGCGTCTCACTACAACAAGAGCACTCTTGCACGTGAGTTTGAGTTACGACGTCGTCTTCAACTCCTTTCAGTGAAAGGTAAAACCTTTTCTGTCTACTGCCGTGAGTTTAGGATTTTGTGTGACAATCTGAGTGCTATTGGTAAATCTGTGGATGAAAACATGAAGATTTTCACGTTTTTGAATGGTCTGGGGCGTGAATATGATCCTGTAACCACTGTGATTCAGAGTTCGTTGTCTAGACTCCCTCCACCAACGTTTAATGATGTTGTGCTTGAGATCTCTGCTTTTGATGCCAAACTCCAGTCCTATGAAGCTGCTCCAGACGTTAGTCCACATCTTGCCTTTCAGACTCAACGTTCTGGACAGCCTAACTCTGGTGGAAACAGAGGACGTGGGGGTTCTTATGGCCGTTTTGGAAATAGAGGTCGTGGAGGTTTTTCCACACGAGGCAGAGGTTTCACACAACAAGTTAACACTTCAGGATGGAATCAGTCTCAAACCTCACAGTCTTCAGGTTCTAGGCCAGTGTGTCAAATCTGTGGTCGTGTTGGTCATGTTGCGTTGAAGTGTTGGAACTGGTTTGATACAGCTTATCAGAGTAATGACACTCCTCAGGCGCTTGCTGCTCTTCAGGCTTCGGATGCTAGTGGTCGAGAATGGCTTGCTGATTCAGGTGCCACTGCTCACATGACCCCAACAACAACCAACCTGCAGAACACTACTCCTTACAATGGACCAGAGACAGTCATGGTCGCTGATGGCACTTATCTCCCTATCTCTCATGTAGGATCCACTACCTTGAACACCACGACAGGTAGTATTCCTCTCAAGGATATTCTTGTGTGTCCATCTATGCAGCAGTCTCTTTTGTCTGTTTCTAAACTGTGTGATGACTTCCCTTGTGGGGTCTATTTTGATGCTAATGCTGTCTCTGTGATCGATTTAACTACTCAGAAGGTAGTGACAAGAGGGAAACGTCGTGAAAAACTTTATGTGTTGGAGCAACCAGAGTTTGTAGCGTTTTATTCAAATCGACAGACTGTTGCAAGTGATATGGTGTGGCATCAGCGTCTTGGTCACGCAAATTCTCAAGTTCTCCAACTACTAAAGACCAGCAAGGCAATCTCAGTGAATAAGAGCAGCACTACTTCCGTCTGTGAACCTTGCCAGATGGGAAAGAGTTCTCAACTTCCTTTTTTTTGATTCTGTTTCTAGTGTAATGGAACCACTTGATCGAATACACTGTGATCTATGGGGTCCTTCTCCAGTTGTATCGGTTCAAGGATTCAAATATTATGCAGTATTTGTAGACAACTATTCTCGATACTCTTGGATCCTTCCTCTTAAAATGAAATCTGATTTCTGTGATGTCTTTATTGGGTTTCAAAAACAAATTGAGAATCAGTTGAGTAAGAAGATAAAGGTTTTTCAGAGTGATGGTGGGGGAGAGTTCATGAGTACACGGTTCATAACACATTTACAGAATCATGGGATCCAACATCTTATCTCATGTCCTTCAACGCCTCAGCAAAATGGTATATCTGAACGAAAGCATCGTCACTTGACTGAACTAGCTCTGTCTATGTTGTTCCAGAGCAAAGTGCCTCTGCGGTTTTGGGTTGAAGCCTTCTACTCAGCCAATTTCATCACTAATATGCTTCCTTCTCCATCATTGAAGAACAAGAGTCCGTCTGAACTTCTGCTGAAGAAGGTTCCTGACTACAGTTTTCTGCGAGTTTTCGGGTCAGCATGCTACCCCTGTCTTAGACCATTTACTCAACATAAATTCGAACCTCGATCTCTTCAATGTGTCTTCTTGGGATACCATCCTCAGTACAAGGGATATCGTTGCCTCTATCCACCCACAGGACGAGTCTACATAAATCGTCATGTGATATTTGATGAATCGTGTTTTCCTTTTATGGATAAGTACAAGCACTTGGTGGTTCAACAGACAACAGGTATCATGGGAGCTTGGCAAGCTGCAGACCCCCCTCAACTACGGACATTGCCAACTCAGTATAAACCTCGTATAGCTTCACCTATACAGTCTGTAAATCAAGAAGAGATTACAGAATATCCCATTGAAGATAATACAGTGGAAACCATTCAAGAAGAAGTTGATGAGAGACCTGTCAATGATGAAGTTGTTGTGCAACCTATGGTTCCAGTCTCCTCAGAAGAAGTAACTGACTCAATGGCTGAGGAACAAGGGCATCCCATGAGAACCAGATCAAAGTCGGGTATTAGCAAGCCAAATCCGAGATATGCTTTACTTGCTAGTACCACCATCCCATCTTTACCAAAGACGGTAAAAGAGGCTTTAGCACATCCAGGCTGGAGACAAGCTATGCTTGATGAGCTAGAGTCTATCTTTCAGAATCACACATGGTCCTTGGTTCCTCCTGAAGCTACTATGAATGTCCTAGGTTGCCGTTGGGTGTTCACTGTAAAACTCAACGCAGATGGTACATTACAAAAGCTCAAGGCACGTCTTGTAGCAAAGGGGTTTAATCAAGAAGAAGGAGTTGACTTTAATGAAACTTACAGTCCGGTTGTTAGAACGTCTACCATCCGAATTGTGCTCACTGTGGCTACGGCTAAACAATGGAATATAACTCAACTTGATGTTAAGAATGCCTTCTAACATGGGGATTTGCAGGAGCAGGTCTATATGTTACAGCCTCCTGGGTTTGAAGATCAAGCTCATCCTACTCATGTATGCTCTCTACACAAAGCACTCTATGGCCTTAAGCAGGCGCCAAGGGCTTGGTTCAATAAATTCAGTAACTTCCTTCTTGAGTACGGCTTTGTGTGCAGTAAAGCAGATCCTTCTCTGTTTGTGTATCGTCACAATGGTGATACACTTGTGCTGTTGTTATATGTGGATGACATCTTGCTCACAGGTTCAAATCCTAACCTGTTCAAGTCACTGATTCATGAGTTAAGTGATCGTTTTGCTATGAAGGACCTTGAGAACTTTCATTACTTTCTTGGAGTACAAGCTCAGCACTACCCTGATGGTCTGTTTATCCATCAAGAAAAGTACACGGAAGAGATTCTCCACAGTGCTGGTATGTCATCTTGTAACCCAATTCATACTCCACTTCCTTTGCGTCTGGATCATGTGTTTCAGGACACCAAACCGTTTGCTCAGCCGTTTTATTTTCGAAGTCTTGCGGGTAAGTTGCAATACCTGACCATCACACGACCCGACATACAGTATGCTGTGAATTTTGTATGTCAGAGGATGCACTCACCAACTGAAGCAGATTTTGGTCTATTGAAAAGAATCTTACGCTATCTTCGTGGTACATCAACTATGGGGTTGTTCTTGTCGAAATACAGTGGTCTTGATATCATCGCTTATAGTGATAGCGACTGGGCAGGGTGTCGTGATACCAGAAGATCTACTACTGGTTTCAGTGTGCTACTTGGATCAAATATTATCTCATGGTCCGCTAAACGTCAGCCTACGGTGTCACGGTCTTCGACTGAGGCAGAGTATAGAGCCCTTGCAACAACTGCATCTGAGCTTACTTGGGTTTCCTCTGTTCTGCGTGATCTTTGCGTGCCACAGACGAAACCTGCTGTTCTTCGTTGCGATAACTTGTCTGCAGTTTACCTCTCCGCCAATCCAGTCCTCCATAACAGGTCTAAACACTTTGACACTGATTACCATTATGTCCGTGAGAGGGTTGCACTTGGAGTTCTTGAGGTTCAACATGTTCCATCTCATCTCCAACTTGCGGACATATTTACCAAGTCATTGTCTAGGCAAGCCTTTCAGAGTCTGAGACATAAACTGAATGTGTGTGTTTCTCCCACACTCAGTTTACGGGGGAATGAAAGTATAAAGGCCCAGAGATGTCCTCAAGCCCAGTTGGTATTGGCCCAAGAGACTAAAGCCACTAACGGCTCTCAGCATTCAAGCTGCAACACGACAAAGAAAGTGAGACAGAGGAGAGAGGGAGGCTGTGCAAAGGAGGAGAGACAGATCGTACTAAAGAATCTGTTTGATGCCTTGTTATCAGTAGTGAATGGCTAGATGTTTGACAAGTGTAATCAGATCCCTTAGTGAGCAACTAGGGTTTTCCTTATGCCTCTTAGTATATAAAGAGTGCAAGACATTGTAATCTTTCTTAAGCTAAAAGTAAAGTATTTTCAGTAAAGTTTGAGCCTTTCTTATTTCTTCATAGATTATGCTACAATTGATATGACTTGGGCTGACTTGTGTTTCTGACACCCCTAAAACAACTTGTGTGTTTTTCGCACAAGCCTAACCAAATGGTCTTTGAGGGCTATTGACGACAATTCACATTACACTCGTATCCATTTACCTAAATATGAAAATGTCGTATCCATGTAGCTAATTTAACAAGTTTTCATAGTTATAGAGTGTAATTGCTCTAGAATATATATCTCCTGAAAATAAGTTGTTTTTTTTTCACTTTCAAATCGACGTCGTTTGTCCGTAAAAGTTTAACAACACGGATTAGCGGTCAACCATAATTTATCTCCAACCTGTGATAGGTGAATAGAACTAGTCAGCATGTGAAAACTGAAGAATAATTTATAATTGATTTCATAAGACATTCTCGCTCTCTTCTGCAATTTCCTTTCTCTTGTACGAGGTCTCCTTCAGGAGTGCATTTTTCTTTTAAGGGTTGTTGTGGTTTCTTTATCCTCTGATTGTAGAATTTGTGAAAAAGATATAAATCTTAACATTTTGCCAAAAAAAAACAAAAACATTTTTGACGATGGTACATTAGAGTTAGGCGATTCTAAAGATATATAGATCTTCTTACATATTAATTTGAAGTAATAAATTCACTATTAGGGACACAATAAACAAGAATGAGTTTATTAACTTCTGGTGAGGTATCTGCTGTCAAGGAGCCAAATAACAGTTTTGGGTGTAGGTTGCTTGCTAAACACGAAAGTTTGTTCCGTGCGTGAAGCTAGGGTCTTATTTCTGCTACAACAAGTAGGACCAACATGTATATATACATGTAAAGTTATATATAGTATATGATCCAACATTTTTCTTGTAACTTTATGTTTTTATATAAATGAATTCTACATATAACACACGTGATAATATTGATAGTCTAATTAAGGGCAATTTGACGTTTAGCCATTGCATAGTGCACAATCTTAGATGATTTTTCTTTTAGTGGTCAAAGGATTAATCAAGATTATATTATGGTGTGATACCTTTGTGACTACAAATTTATTAAAACTGGCCAAAATTTAAAAGTTGGAAAAAGAAAACAAGTTTCAATAACGACACTCCATCTTATTATCTTTCTTGTTTGTGAAATTCCTTTCTCTCTTATATTCACATACATATAAACTGCATACGCTGATCTAATTTAATATTTTCGTGCACAATTTTTTCTTCCTAGTTGTAAATGGAAGCCACATTTAACTATTTTACACGAATCTGGCTAATAATCTATATTATAATGATACACTTTCAAGGCTCCTAGGCCTATCCACCTCAGCAAATTTACGGGTCCCACGTATGTTATTAGGGAAAATAAAAACGTATAACATTTTGTAAGATTAAATGTTATCGATGAGTAATGAAATGACCCAGTGGTGTAAGTTGGTGACTAGAAGTTGGTACTGCGAGTGCGCGGGTTCGAAACGCAGTGTTTGCATGTAATTTTTTTTTTTTAATTTGGGCTTTTCGGGATACCTAAAAGCTTAGGGAGATTTAGAATGATTTTTTATACTAGTTATTGGGATACAAAATGGCTTAAGGATTTGAAACTTTATGAGACCATCTTAGATACTTTTATAAGAAATGTTATCATGTTCTAACCTCCAATATCATTTCAATTCAGTTATAATAACCAAATAAAATAAAAAGATATTTTTTCAATAATAAATACTTACCCCGAACCATTCAGGCCGGCCATAAATCTCATATACATCACAACTAAAAAAATATATATATATATATACAACATAATTTCAGAAAGAAAATTACACTAATAAACACATGTCTTTTTTTTGTCTTGTCTCCATTAAATTATTATTTTACATGAAAGCACTAATAACAGTAATGCTCGATAAAATCACTAATAAAGAGAATACTCGATAAAATCACTACGAAGATAAAATATGAAAATATCAACCCATATGAATTTGATGTTTATTCTCTTATCAGACTAATCAAGTTGTGTGACTTCTAATGTTTCATTCATCACCATTATTGATAAGCAAGATAAGCAAATGTTAAAAAAAAAAAAGCAAATTCTCATACACAAAACTACACAACACATCAACAATCGCGAGGACTATGCATCTAGTATACTATAATACAACTGGACGTGGAAATTAGAAAAGGAACAAAATGATCAAGAATAGTCATAATCAAATTTGAGAAACTTGCATTTAATAATTATTTGTTGCAAACGTATAAACATACACCATTAATAAACGTGACGTTCAAGCAACCTCCTAAAAAATATTTAAAATAATAGTTTAATATAATTAAGTTTTTGGAAGAAAACTTATCAATCACTTGCCCCTCTTTCTATATCACCTCATCTTTAGCTTCCGCTCCTTCTCTCCCTCCCTCTCTCGACTTTATCTTTTGATAGTTCTGATTTTAATTAGGTTTAGATTTTGGTGGGTAATTGAAGAGAGAGAGAAGGGAGAGACAGAGAGGGGGTCAGTAAAAGATGAGCTGGTGTGATGGTTCAGATGAAAGAACAACCAACATTCATCCATCGATTCAACTCAAAGACCAATCTCAATCATGTGCCACGAGCCGTCCAGATTCCAAGATTATCGTTGGATCTCCCAGTATGACTTGTTCTTCTTGTGGACATAAGATGCATCAAAAAGACGACCAGGTTATGTATATAAACGTTAATGGTTCACCTAAAAAACCTCTCTAGTCAATATAAGTTATAATACATATATATCACTTTGTATTTTGGCACACGTATTAATGTAAATAAGTTTGATTTAAGGTTGGAAGCATCAAAGATTTACCAAGTTTACCGGCGGGAGTCAAATTCGACCCGTCGGATAAAGAGATCCTTATGCACTTGGAGGCGAAGGTTTCATCTGATAAGCGGAAGATTCATCCGTTGATCGATGAGTTTATACCGACACTTGAAGGAGAGAATGGAATTTGTTATACTCATCCTGAGAAACTTCCTGGTCAAACCCTTTCTTTGTTCATATATCAAAATACATAACATATATAGTTGGAAGAAAGAATAGTGTTAAATGTTAGCAGAAAAAGGAAGAAATAATAGTGTTTACTGAAAAATAAATAAATGCAATTATCTCGCCATTTTTCTCAAGCTTATAAATTTACACAAAATACTTTTAGGTTTACCTATTTGTATTAGGGCTTCATTTTTTGTAAAAGAAAATTGTAGAAACAGGGATATTTTGTCAGAAAAACGAAACTATTTCTTAGATTTGATGATTATATTATTTTGTTGTGCTATACTTCTTAATTTATCTCAAAACCACTGATCAAATATAGTACAGTAATGTGATTGGTGACAAATATATAACAGTCTCCAGTTTTTGTCTATGATTAAAGTGGTTAACATATGCTTAACTTATGTCAATCTTGTCCAAGTAGGAGTAAGCAAAGACGGGCAAGTACGACACTTTTTCCACCGGCCATCAAAGGCTTACACGACGGGAACACGAAAACGTAGAAAAGTGAGCACAGACGAGGAGGGCCACGAGACACGGTGGCATAAAACGGGAAAGACCCGACCTGTTTTGTCTCAGTCGGGAGAAGCAGGTTTCAAGAAGATCTTGGTACTCTACACGAACTACGGTCGCCAGAAGAAGCCCGAGAAGACGAATTGGGTGATGCATCAGTATCATTTAGGCCACAGTGAGGACGAAAAAGACGGTGAACCAGTTCTCTCTAAAGTCTTTTACCAAACACAGCCTAGACAATGTGGAGGATCGACCGAAACTAAACCTAAGAATCTCGTAAACCTAAACCGGTTCAGTTATGAAAATCTTCAGGGCGGTTTTGCGTATGAGCATGGAGGGAATAGTGAAGACACGACGACTGATACGAGAGTTGGTGGTTCGTGAAGGCGATGGGTCATGTTCGTTTCTTAGTTTTACTTGTGATGCAAGTAAGGGTAAAGAAAGCTTCAGGAAGAATCAATGACACATACAATATATAAATGCAGGTGCTTTGTGGAGTAAAGATGAGGAAAAGAATGATGTGACTGATAGAGAACAGATTCTTTGCGTGTAGGTGTTGGGTAACTATCATCGTAAATGATCTCAAAGCTTTACAGAGATTTTAGGTTTAACTTTTGTTTGGGATTAAATTTGGGAGGCAACTTTAACCTCTCGATGCATTACTAATCTTTTTTTTCTCTCCTTAATAAAATCTGTCTAGAAATACTGTAATTCTTCTTTTCCAATTATTGTAAAAAACTTAAGGTAATCTCTATAATATTATTTGAGAAGTCACTTTCTTATGTGTCGCGCTCACGTTAACTCTCACGCTGGTTGATTACTATGATACCCTTAATGAATTAAAAATACAATTAAATATTATTTCCTTTTTAAAAATTTCTAAATAACAATATAAAATAAAAAGGAAACATTTAGAAAATTTACAAAACTATTTAAAAACGAAAATATAAGTATATATAATATGGTTTAATAAAAAAAGGAAAGTTCACAAAATAGTAATATTTAATTTAAATATATTTTAAATAACATAAAATATACCTTTGAAGTAATAAAATACTTTATATTTATATCTTCTTAGATATAAAAAACAATATCTGTATATAGTGTGATTTCATAAAAAAATTTCACACAAAAAATATTACTATTAGAAAAAGAAATATTTTTTCTTTAAAAAAAATAATTTTAAACAATAAAATATGTATATTTTCAAAATAATGATTTTTGTATATATCTATCTATTTTATTAGATGATTACATAAAATAATCAACTAACATAAACTGATATATGTTTAATTGACATTTTTTTATAATTAGTATTATTGAAATTATTTTTGTAGTATATTTATTTGACTATAATATCTTACAATTACAGTAAATATATAAATTTTATTTTACTTATATAGTATAATTTCTCAAAAACAATAACTTTTTACTGACTATTTTAAGAGATACTAAAAATAAAGCTTAAAATAAATTTAATAATAAACATCTTTTGATCAAGTAACTACAATTATTTTAAAATATCATAACACTATATAATTTAACGAGGTAGATATATTATATTTTAATAGTTAAAATTATCTGTTTTAAGAATAAGGATCCTGATTTACTTAAGTATATTGATTATGGTTATATTAAGTTTCACAAACATAAAAACAAAAAATAACTACAATTATTTTAAAATACCATAACACTATATAATTTAACGAGGTAGATATATTATATTTTAATAGTTAAAATTATCTGTTTTCTTAATAAATGTTTTGATTTTTAATTTTTTGTTTTATTTGTGAAACTTAATATAACAATAGTCAAAATACTTAAGCAAATCAGAATCCTTATTTTTAAAATTATTTAAAATAAATTTCAGTTTACCATCCAATCTATCTAAAGCATAAATTTATTTAGAATTTATAAAATATTTTAATTATTATAAATATTGATATGTGTTCAAAAGCTTCTAAAAATTCATTAGTTACTTATGTATGTAATTTAGAATCAGACACTTTAGTTTTTATTTTTTTTCCTTCTAAGCACAAAAAAATCTCAAGTTATATATAATCTTACTAAATATACTTATATTTCTAAAATAACAACCAGCATATATGCAAATAGGAAAATTAATCAAAAATTTAATATATTTAAAATATAAAAGATTATAGTTGAATTCAGAGAAATAGATAGAATCCAATATATCTAAATGATAACTAAATCGACCGTAAAAAGAATAAAACAGACTAAATATAACATATCTAAAATTATTTATATAATTAAAGTAATATAATATTATAATATAAATTAGACATACAAACTATAAATTAATTTAAAAATTAAAGTAAATATCAATCAATTATTATTTTATATTTATTTTATAAATATACATGTTCGTGCATGAGCACGGGAAAATCACATAGTAATTAAATAAATAAAGGGATAGTAATAACTATCAAAGTTGGAAACCTGTCTCTAGTTCTAATTAATGTGGTTTTCTATTAGTAAGCACCATGTTACGTTATCATATCCAGATTCAAATCCTCTCTGTTGCGTTGCAGTATGCACTTTAATTCTTTTTAAAGAAAAAAGCTAGAGGATTCTTTCATGTATACACTACAAGAAAAGTGTAAAATTTGTAAAATTGAATAAATTTATTTTTAGATATATTTTTTTTTGGCAACAAACGACTGATGTATTACTCATGTTTGAAGTGATCTGAGAATTCAGACCGGAATAGAACAACCAACATACATTAGATCGCGATAGAAGGATCGCACAGTCTTAGCTAAAAAATCGGACACATCAGTTTGGGACCTAGGCACATAAAATAACTTGAAATCTAGGAAGTATATCCGCAACGTCAAGAGCTTCTCCAGTTCCGTCGAAATACTTGGCCATTCATGGGGATGTGTGAGCATTGCTATCAACTCCTTGCAATCCGTCCCAAACCTCTGACATGGCGAATATTGAAGCATATTCTTCATTGCCCACCACAGTGCTTCCAGCTCAAAGTGCAAAGCCGACTCCACCCTACTTACATTACACAAACCCATCAATTGACTATTTCCCATTCTGCCCTTCCAATCCCAACCGCAACCTGAGAATTGATTTGTAGAGGTCCAAGAACCATCTACCAAACAAATATCTCCTAGGCTTATGACCTGGTTGCTAGCATCTATGTTTCCTTGTGATGGTACAATTTCCTGCTCATTAGCTTGGAACCAGGCAGGACATTCACTCTCCGCATACTGGGCTAGCTCCAGAGGATCTCTATCAATCCCTCGGAACAACTTGTCGTTATGTGCCTTCCAAATGTACCATATTAACCACAGATAAGGATCCCTGACTAGTTCATTATGGCCTTCTTCCTCCAAAATAGATAATCCATATTGGCATATGTGCTCTGCAGTGGAAATAAAGTTGAGCTGGTAGGTATAGATGATAAAGTTGAGCTGGTAGGTATAGATGCTAAAGCCACACCTGTAGTGCAGGTGGGCATTGAAAGATTGCATGTGCAATTGTTTCTTCCGGTTCACCGTATCGTGGACAAAAGTTATCACATCTGATGTGTCTATGGTCCAAAGCACTCGTAAAAGCCATATGACCTGTTATAACCTGCTACATAAGATGACACATATCTGGGGGTGCTTTAACCTTCCAGACATGTGCTTGGAGTTTTGTAATACTAGGTTCACCCACTATATTATCATCCTCCTTCATCCATATATTCCGAGCGACCCAATAGCCGGACTTGACTGTGTTCTGTCCACTCCTTGTGTAACTCCAGCAAAGCGTGTCTCTACGATGTGTTGAGCTAACAGCCATACTTCTTATGAGAGGTATGTCAACAGTGTCAACATAATTTGACAACTTATCCAAATCCCAAGACTTAGATTCTTGGTTAATAAGATCACTCACTCTCATGTTCGGATGTAAAACTGGAACAGATGAAAACGCTGGCCTCGCTGAGATTGTAGGAATCTAAGGGTCTTCCCATACTTTCACTTTCACTTCATAGATATATGTAACTATTAAAAATGATAGTTTATGTTTTCTTTCATCGAAAACATATTTCCCACTTCAGTGTTTTTTATAACGTAAACATTTGTCAGCTAAAATTGCCGTAGTTATTTATTCTTTTACAACTGTAATAACCCTAGTCGAGTTTATCACTGACTTAAGTATGTTGATTTTTTTTCTTGAATTTGAAAATTTAGTTATAGTTTTAAGTTAATTATATATTTATATATTCTGTTGTACAATTAGCTAGAATATATGACACATGCCTATCCTTTTTTCTTTTTTTGAACACAAACACATGCCTATCCTATTATTATTGTTTTGTTCGTGTTAGAGGCTATAGAGCTACACCAGTGGTTAGCGGATTCGACTTTCTATATCAGAATGGAGTAGAGAAAGTAATAGGTAGGCCTGGTTGAAATGGAAGGAGTGTTTGGACGATACCCTACGAATGGGCTAAGTCAATTCTTACTGGGACCAGACCGCCTCTTTTTGTGTGTAAAGCTGGTTTAATGAAATATCGAGTCTGTCTCGATCTGAGTGAGAATGCGATTTCTGTCTCAAATATTGCTATTCTTGGGTGACTTCTCAAGCAAACATATCGATATTGCGAGTGCAATTTGTAAAAGGAAATGCTTTAAAGTGTTGGTGGCAAGATATATATATATCAAAAGTAGCCTGGAACACTGTTATTCTTACTAAAGAGCAAGGAGGACTTGGAGTCAAGGATCTTCAAACCTGGAATAAAGCGTGCTGTCTCAAACTGGTGTGGCTTCTTTTCTTCAGATCAGGCTCGGTGTGGGTTGCTTGGTTTAAAGAGGTCATTCTTAGGGGTTCGATACACAACTACTGGACAACTAAACCGAAAGCTTCCTACTCTTGGCTTGCAAACAAGCTACTGAAGCTCAAGGATGTGGTGTATCCTCTCATAAAGCTTCGGTTGGAAAATGGTCTTAATGCTCGTTTCTGGTTTGACAACTGGTCTCCTCTTGGAAATATTGCCACTCTGCTAAACATGCCCTCCTCTCGCTTGGGTATCCCTCAGAATGCAACTGTGGCTTCCTTATTTAGAAATGGTTGCTGGTGTATTCCACCTGCAAGATCAGAACAACAGTTTCAACTGCAAGCTTATCTTACTACAATCACCTTAACTACTGAGCCAGATTACTTCGAGTGGGAAGTCGAAGGCAAAATCTCAAATAAATTCTCTACTGGAGTAATTTATACATACCTGAGGGGGACATCAGAAGACGTTAGCTGGGCAAAAACTGTTTGGACATCCTATGGAATCCCTCGGAACAACTTTCACACATGGCTAGTAGTCTTGGACAGATGCCCTACAAGGGATCGTCTCCTAAGCTGGGGGCTCACCGTCTCTCCGCAGTGCCTTCTCTGCAACAACAGCCCTGAGTCCCGTAACCACCTCTACTTTGACTGTGGCTATGCCTATGATGTGTGGAAAACGTCTGCTTCAAGGTGTGGTTTGAATCCCGCTCGAAGCTGGTTGGACTCTCTCTCTCAGATGAATCAACTGCCAACGGGGAAAGCTTCTAAACCGCTCCGACTTCTCACTCTTCTATCTTGGCAATCCTCCCTTTACTGGATTTGGAATGAGCGAAACACTAGAATCCACTCAAACACTTTTCGATCTGTTGATGTTCTCTTCCAGTTTATTGATCTCCAAGTCAGGAACAGGATCCAGAGCTTCAGGGAAACAAATCCAAAACTTTCTTCGGCAATGATGCAGTTATGGTTTCGGT